ACACTAATTAGTATTTGTACAAAGGAAACAACAACCTGTAATGTTTTGGTGTACACTAATTAGTATTTGTACAAAGGAAACAACAACCTGTCACGTTTTGGTGTACACTAATTAGTATTTGTACAAAGGAAACAACAACCTGTAACGTTTTGGTGTACACTAATTAGTATTTGTACAAAGGAAAAAACAACTTGTCATGTTTTGGTGTACACTAATTAGTATTTGTACAAAGGAAACAACAACCTGTAACATTTTGATGTACACTAATTAGTACTTGTACAAAGGAAACAACAACCTGTAAAATTTTGGTGTACAATAATTAGTACTTGTACAAAGGAAACAACAACCTGTAATGTTTTGGTGTACACTAATTAGTATTTGTACAAAGGAAACAACAACCTGTAATGTTTTGATGTACACTAATTAGTATTTGTACAAAGGAAACAACAACCTGTAACGTTTTGGTGTACACTAATTAGTACTTGTACAAAGGAAACAACAACCTGTAACGTTTTGGTGTTAACTAATTAGTATTTGTACAAAGGAAACAACAACCTGTAACGTTTTGGTGTACAATAATTAGTATTTGCACAAAGGAAACAACAACCTGTAACATTTTGGTGTATACTAATTGTATTACTATATAATTTGGTGTATACTAATGGGTTTATATTTTTACTTTTGTCAAAAGAGGGAGTGCAAGGACAAACTTGATGGAGCAAATGGTCCATATTTTATGTGATACTTCCTTTAACCCAGAAGATAGATAGATCCAACTGTTGAAAGCATTAAGGTTTCATTGTTGTTGTTTTGAATGTGATTTTCCTAACTGTTTTTTACTATTATGAATGTAACTATTTTGAATCATTTGATTGGAGCCCTTAAAAATCAGCTATAAATCCCAAAAATTTTCGGTTGGGAGTTGTAGGGACTCCTAAAATTCAAGGATATTACTAAATGCTTTTATTTTAAATAATTATGACCGTAAACTATCAGTGACTTATCACAAAAAGTATGTATTTAAAATCTGATGAAAATGCTGTTAAATAATACAATACATATGATATTTACCTTATAACTACATACACCACAAGAAAAAGTTATTAGTTCCATAAAAGACCATTCTAAAATCATATTTAAACCATTTTTTAATCAAATATGATGTGTATATTCAAGATTAAACTTTCATTTACATTACTTTCAGCAGTAATTGAAATAAACAAATTTTATCTTACAGTAACGATCTATAGTTAAAAGGTTTCAGTTTCATAAAATAATGTGGTATGTTTTATCGTAAACAAACGTATCTTGTCTCTCACATTGTAAACTATACAAACCATTTGAACAATAAAATCGGAAATTCACATATATTGCCATCAACTTTGCATTTTTTACCCATCAGAAAACATGTTTTCCCAATACAACATTATGTCAAAAATTGTTTCAAATACATTTATGTTGCTATGAAGCTTTACAACAGTGTCTGTATACCTGTACTAAATAATTTTTTATAACACAGTAAGACTGATTAACCTCTTACATTTGTCAACCTCCCAAGTCCTTCTGGCCATGTATAATTTTTATTTGGATCTTTATCAAACATCCTAATTGGTGTGCGATCTCCATGGCGATAAAGCTGTAACAGTATATACATGTATCAGTATACTTATACATTATGTAAAGTTAAAAAAATTTGCTAACAGAATATGTAACAAGTGCAAATGTAACACTTCAAATATATGTAACAAGTGCAAATGTAACACTTCAAATATATGTAACAAGTGCAAATGTAACACTTCAAATATATGTAACAAGTGCAAATGTAACACTTCAAATACACATTTATGAACACACTTTGTACTGCATGGCACCGTATGTAACAAGTGCAAATGTAACACTTCAAATATATGTAACAAGTGCAAATGTAACACTTCAAATACATATGTAACAAGTGCAAATGTAACACTTCAAATACACATTTATGAGCACACTTTGTACTACACGGCACCATATGTAACAAGTGCAAATGTAACACTTCAAATACACATTTATGAACACACTTTGTACTACACGGCACCGTGGAATTTCCATTTGAGGACCACATCTAATGAAAGTTACATATTTCACCAGGCAACAAAACAGAGCTTGTATATAATGGCTGGAGACGGCTTGAATGGGTAATGAAGAAAAACTTTAATATAAGTTTAACATAACAGCAAATGGTACCTGATGATGACAAAACCTTGTCGAAACGTTGTACATTTGCTGTTATGTTAAAATCATATTAAAGTTTTTCTTCATTACCCATTCAAGCCATCTCCAGCCATTATTAGTCTCAAAGTGGGTTCCTCGTCATCGAATAAGAGCTTGTATATTGTGTTGTAAAAACATAAGTATAGAGTATTTAACTATCAAAAGCCTTTCACTCGGTCTCGCATATAATTTTACCTTGCAGTTGTGCTTGGCTTTCTATTAATAACTAAACAGATGGTAACGTAAGAAGTAAACGAGCGACTGTTTACTAGAAACAGACGTTATACTCTAACCAAATTCTTCAGTTTTTGGTTCCTTAAACAATCCTTCAGGTATTGACATTAAGAGATGAACACCAAGAGGGATTGTACCACGAGTCATAGAATAATAAGTTAATTTACTAATATTGGCAGATGATGCTAGAAAGCTGAAAATAAGTTGTTTGGTTTAGAGGAACTCTAGAAGTATTTGAAATAAAATCTTCTACCCAGCCTTAGTTAATTAAAATCATGAAACTTTAGAATCTTTCATAGACTGTATTAAACACATGTGGAACAGGTAATATTATTTGTTAGAAGCTGGCTCAAAGATTACGAAAGAAATGTTATCACTGAACTCGTGTGTTCGGCTGAATTTTCTTAAACAGAGAAAAAATACTTATTTGCATTTTTTCCAGTTGATATTTAAATTTATATACAATATATATATATATATATATGCTACCAAGAGCTTAGGTTTATAAAACATTACTAAAGAAAGGTTCAAGACTTCAGTAATACTAGTTTGCATAATTTATCAGTGACTGTCACCATAGTTTTTACTTTATACTTTTCAAAAATCCTGTTATCTTACATTATCTTGTGTTACTTGGCATGAAGAAAAGTAAGTAGTTTACATATTGGGAAAAACACTTGTATATAGTTTAAAAATTTTAAAACTTATAGGAAAATACACATCTGTTGCTTCTGATACTCATACAGTAGAAATGTACTACACGTGCACCATATTGCAGCCAATTAGAAGAACTGCAGCTTACTTAAGTGAAACAAAGCTCCATTTAATCAGTCAACATTCTAATCGGGTTATCAGTCAACATTCTAATCGGGTTATCAGTCAAAAGACTACAGAGTATAATATTAACTCTAGTGTTGTTGTTTTGTCCAAAATTTTAGAAAAGATTACTTAAAGAATTGTCTGCAAGATTATTTTAAGGAAGAAAAACTAGGTAGCACTCTGAAACAAGAAGAATGAATATTTATATTAATTTGTCGGGACTCAAAGTTAGAAAGAATTCTTACGTGCTCCTACATTTTGTAATTTTATAGACAATTAAAAGGTTAGGGGTCCAGCTAGTTTTATAGTTCCAATTAATGTTAAAATAAGTACATTTAATTTACTGATATGAAAGACAAATTTAGACAGACTGTTAAAAAGTACAAAACGTCTATCTTTGATGGAAGTTTAAAAAAAAAAATTTGATTTGTTCCTTTTTCTTGAGTCAGTTGTACATTACAACAATGATTCTGGACTGTTTGATCTTTACAACTACACTGTTTTATTTTTTGATTTAGCATTTGGGTTGGTTGTTTGTCTTCTCTTCTGTGTCAATTGATCATTTCTTAAAAAAATCATGAACTGATTTTGAAGATGTCATTAGTTCTACATCTCCCATGAAATTAGTCACATGACTTACATTCTTTGGTTGTGGAGGTTCATATATGGTTACTTGGCAACATGGAAGTGACATATAGTTTGTAATTGATTGTGTTTTAGAAGGAAGTAAAATGATTGGCCAATAAACAAACAATACTGATGCAGAAAGTGGCAATATTCTTTTGTTGCAATGCTGTGTAGAAACAGTGACTTTCACAGAAAATCCACCTTATATTTTTTTTTATTTGACATCCCCATCCCATCAGTGAAACAAATTTTGCTTGTGAATTTAAATACTGCTACCAAATATTTATATTAAAACTGAATGTTTTTTCCTAAATATATGAATTAAACTTTTAGTAAATAAATAATGTCTGGCTTATGTAAACATAACATTCACTTATAAAACGGAAGATACTGAACTTTATACAAATAAACTATAAAACAGTTCTCAAATCAGTGTTAAGTTTCTTAGTCCAAACATCAAATTTGCCTTGAAAAAATTGTGTTTGCATTAATTGCAAAAAGAGTAAAAATAATATTGGTCTTTTAGGTTTTGAAGAAATCTTATTATAGATGATGTGGTCAAAACTTAAATTGTTAAACTTATTGTTTTTATACTAGAAGCTTTACCAATGAAGGCGAGGGACTTTTCTTAAAGTTTATTTATGTAAAAGGTAATTTTATCGACGATCTTATAAAAGCACATTTTTACTAAGCCTATCATCATTCTCAATCGAGTTTTTGCTTTTTTCCAGTAAATTAGTCACGTAGTATCATTAGTAATAACAACTGTGGGGATTAGACAAAACTTAAGACTCAGTCAAATGCATCTTTATTCACGACTTTAATGTAATGGTTTTTGAACAGCATATACAAAAAAGAAAATGCATTTGACTGAATTTTGATTACCACAATCATTATTCAGTCTAACCAGCATGTTCTGAAACTGAAATATGGGCCTCTCGAGTAGCGAATTGTGGAAGATTAAAAAAATAAGAAAAAACCTCACAATTCGTAATCATAATAAACATAAAACTAATAAATCATTAAATGTGTATAATAAAAACATCTGTAATATCTGGCATAACGTTCTTCACAAATATTAATCCTAGTCTTTCAATAACTGTTTTAAAAAAGTGCAATATCAAAAATATAACAGGTCTCTATTTTTACATTAAAAATATAACTTACAATTTGAAGAAGCTGAAGAGTACTTTGATCTTCTGCTTTCACCGTCAGCATTAGTAAAAAGATGCAGTGGAAAATATTCAGCACAAACCTTCTGAGTAACATTTCAAAAACAAAATACTATCGCATTCATAAAATATGATAAATTGATCTAAAGGAAATCCCCAGGTTCTAATTATGTTGGGTAACAAAAATAAAGATGTTAATAAAGACTAAAAGAGTAAATTATGTTGATATTTTTTAAATGTATAACTTTAGTTAAAAGAAAAAAAAACGGTTACGTTTTAAAAGCCTTTGAAATATATTTTTATTGGAATGGAAAAGATTCGACCCGCAAACTGCACGCAAGTTTTGGCCTGTGCTAAGCCCCTAATCAGGTTTCACAACTTACTCAAACGTTTTTCCCTAGCCTGTGCACCTTGTACACGTCTACTGTCTAGTAATATAGGACTTGAGTACTGGTATTAAAAAAAATAATACAGAGTATTACAAGTACAACAACAGATTACGCTAGAAAATATCCAACAAATGATTGAGTTTATATGTTATATTTTAATACTATTAACCCGTCTGCACCTCAGCATATACACGTATTAGCACTACCCAGTAAAATAAGAACGTTTCCTTTGATGGTAAATGACGTGCTCTCAACTACCCAATGTAAAAAGTTCCCACTCAGCACGTACACAAATGCCAATAAATATAAACAAGTTAACATTTAACACTTACGTCTTCGATACTGACATCTAGCGGTGTTATTATATTTATACTGTTTTGGGTTATCTTTTACTCACTACAGCGAACAAAAATAAATAAAAATGTCAATTACAGATAAATTATGTCGATATTCTTTAAATTTATAAGTTTACTTAAAAGCTTAAGATAACATAAAAACACGGTTGGTTACATTTTAAAAGATTTTGAATTGAACTGCTATTATGAATGGTAAAATTTGTAAAGTATGTGTGTTTTCTTATAGCAAAGCCACATCTGGCTATCTGCTGTATCCACCAAGGGGAATCGAACCCCTGATTTTAGCGTGGTAAATTTAATGACTTACCGCTGTCACACCGGGGGACAACAAACTGATAAATACTTGAGTGAACAGTGAAAAGAAAAGAATACATGTACTTGAAAGTGAAACACGGTTTCTTCAACTCTCAGTGATAGATCCAAAAATTTGGGGGTGGGGTGATCCCCAAAACCGATTCGATTTAGTTCGAAGCAATAAGCTACTTTCACAATCCTCAGAAATTTGACCTGGACCAATATAACTTACTAAACATAGAAACAAACTGTAATGTATGAACGATATATATTATTTAATGGCTATAACATAAGACATACATAAGGCTTACAATAAAATTTGTACTACTGTTTGAAAAATACTTTCAGAATTAAATATATACATAAACAATGTTCTGTATCCTTCCCAACTCTTGAAAAGAAAATCAATATTTCCCCCACAGGACAATATCCTTTACTTGCTAAAATAGTCTGTTAATTTCATAATATTCTGTATTTATTTTCATAATGGCGTCTTAGATTGTGTAACGAAATCACGTGATCAAGCATTTAACTATAGGTAGTGGTGAAGTGAAATTATTTACCGCTATCGCGTTCTCATCCACGAGTGTGGGACTAATATTATTTTTTTTCAATTGTTTATTGGTGGGTCTCGAAAAAATAGAATAATGAATTTGGGGGGCGATCCCGAAACCGCGGGACCACCCCTTAAATTCACCAGTGAGTCTCAACAGTTTTTTTTTTTTTTAGAAATACAATTCGATCCAAGCAATATTTCGTAAAGACAAGATCTGAGAAACATCCTGGCAAATGAATCCTTATACCAGCTGACTTACTGGACCACATTTACTTTTAAACCTAAGTAAATTACATTTCATACTGCTTGATACACATTAAATAATCCAAGTTGTTTTAGATTTTATAAGTAGTATACATAAACTTTTATACACGGTAAACAATATTCTGGTATTGCTGTATGGAATTAAATTTTTCCCAGTTTGTAGTTTTTATTAATGGATATAGCAATGAAGATACTTGATTTGCAAACACTTGTTGAACTGTCCATATCAAGCTTCTATTTCTTTGTAGTTAAGCACAAAGCTACACAATGGGCTGTCTGTGCCGTGCCCACCACGAGTATCGAAACCCGGTTTCTAGCGTTATAAGTCCGCAGACTACGCTGCTGGGGGTGGACAAGCTTCTAAACACACAGCACAACACCTGATCTACATATATACTTAAATACAAGGATGAGTTTCAAATATCCTTACCTTTTTGTACAGAACAGACTTCATATGTAAAGACTTTTGAGTGAAAACATACACACCAATACAGAGTAATATTACAATACAGAGTAATATGA